AAAAAAAGTAGGGGTAATCATGTTGTCTTGTTATTTTTAAAAAAGTTGCATTTTTTTTATTAATGAGATGTTTACAAATGTTATAATTATTTTGTAAATATGCCAGGCAAGAGCATATCCAATTTTCAGTGTCAATATGATACTTGTCTTCTACATTAGGCAAAATATCTGCAGCAACAGCTTTGTGCCAATCAGCTTTGAAACTATGCCACCATGCTGGAAAAGCCTAACCTCCATTATATTGAACAAACTTAATTTCAAAATCTGAAACAAGTTGTTTTGTTATAATTTGCGTAAGTTTGTCTATCCATGGACGATTGTAATTGTATTTATAATTATATTTTAAAACTCTCCAATGACTTTCTGTAATCATTGTAGTATGAGCAAAAGGTATAGCATATGGATATAAAGATAGGACAAACAATTTCCAATCTTTTTCATTGTACCAACTTGACCATAAGTAGCTTCACAATTTAATAAAATTATATGAACGGCAGAACTGATAGGCTTCTTGAACACAATATTTATATATTTCTTTTGAAGTCATAAAGGTATTCTTGTCTACTGGAATTAGAGGATGCATAGATATATGTTTTTAAACCATATTTAAGAGCAGTTTAATACAATCATCTGGACAAAAAGATGTAGCACCACCTTTAATCTATGATGATTCAATAAATTCAAACTTTTTATGAGCTTCTTGCGCTTTAGTTGTAGAATATATACTTTCCTTTGATTTTTTGTCTTTGACTTTTTTTTCAATAGCCTGTTTAATATGCCAATAACAAATTTGAATACTAAGTGTTCATGACCAAGCCTTACTAACTGAAGATATTTTACCCATATCTTTGTCTATTAGTGCAAATACAGGTCTTAGTCTCTCTTGTCTAAGGTTAGTAAAAAATATTCATAGTATTTCAATGTGAGTTTTTGTAAAATTTTTTAGATCATTTCTTATTTCATCACTTCCATCTAAAGTAAATAGGTATAGGTATGCTACTGGCATACCATATCCTTCACAGTTTAGATTTACTACAAATAATTCAAATCGTTCATAATTAGTTTTAAAAGTAGAGTCTATAATTATTTCTGTTGCATTTTTAACACCAATGCATTTAAGCAATAGTGTTAAAAACCCCAAAGCTCTTACAAAATTATTTTCCAAATAAGTAATAACTTTAAATATCTTTTCTATTATTTTAGGCTGCTTTAGATACAGCTTGGTTGATAAAAGTGAATTATTTGGATTCATTATATATATATTTCTATTATATATAGATATCCAGTAGTATATTTGTGCGCTTGTATGAATTTCTGGATTTATAAGATTATTTTGACAGAGCTGATAATATACTTCTGTGCTTTTCATATTAAGAAAGAAATTGGTTTGGATCTATTCCCTTGCTTTTATAGAAATTTTTACTTGTCTATAGGTTGGTTTTTCATATGCAATAAAATGATATTCTCGAACTAAAGCATATTGTTTTTCTGGAAATATAGTAATTCTAATACTTCTTTTACAGTTATATCTGTTAATAGGTGTGCAAATTTCACTAATTCTTTTAGGTAGTTAATTATCTGGCTTTTTCTAAGCTCGATCTTCACGCATTGTGCAGCCAAGATATATCGTAACAGAACCTGAAATCTTTTATTTTTACTATTTAAGTATACCTTATGTATTTCTCAGTAATAACCAGAACCTAACTCAAGAGGTACAATAATTGTATTAGCAAGTTGGTGAAACTTGCTTTTAATTATTTTAAAATCATTTGTATTAACTAAGTTTAATTGGTCTAAAGAAACTATAGTAAGGAGACTTTGATCTAATTCAATCTCAAAAATAAATTTGTCAGGTTCTAATGATTCTATTTCAAAATTCTTTAAAATAACTTCATGTACTTCATCTAACCCATATAGAAGCGTCTTTGAAATAGAATTATTCTGGTTATTATAATCATATACTGTATTCTCATGTGGTATTATTTCTATATTTTCAGAAAATAATTCTAGAATTTCTGAATTATTATCTATCATTATATCTGAATCACTGGTAGCATCATTTTGTGTTTTACTTTTTTTTTTTATTT